ACCAGGTTGTTTTTGCTTCTACTCATGGGACAACCCATTCACTAGCCATTATTCAGCTAGTGTCTGAGGACTGCCCTCCACCGTGGCGTTCTGCCACACGCAGACTTTTGGACAGAGGATCATGAGCAGTCTTAGTCCTGTTTGCCAAGTTTTCAGTCCAGGAGAGGGGACCAGACTCCATAAAAACCACACAGTTAAAGCCCAGCTGCGCATGCCCACTCCTGCAGCTCCACTGGGGTCTCTGTCCACTCAGGCCTGGTGGGGGAGGCAGGTATGTCTCAGAGAGGACAGGCTGATCGTTGGGGTTCCTTTTGCTGCATTCCTTATTCTTCCTAATGGCCCTCAGAGGTACCCAGTGTCTCCACAGCTCTTTCCTCTTGAACAGTACCCAGATGTTCCCCTCCACTGAGTTCAATTCCCCCCTGAGAGACACGCCCAACGTGTGCCTCCACTGTCTGGTGTGTGTGGTGAGGGGAGGCTCTGTGCTCACTGTCATCATTCCTGGGAGCACGGCCACTTGACCATCCTTGGTCCAGTTTAGCTGGAAGGAAGGGGACCTTTCCTGGGCTTCTCCAGTATTTCTGCGAGCCAACCTCCCCCATAGCTTGTGAATGTCAGATTGCCGAAGTGGGAGGTGGAGAGGTGCTGGGTGCAGAATTCTGGAGCATTGGAGTGCGAATCAGGGCATATTACTGTCAGAGTATAAGGTTGGAGTTTGGGCTACAGACATTAAGATTGTTTGGATAGTCATAGACTAATAGGGTTATTATACTGAAGCCCTGACCAGGAAGGAACTATTTATTCTAAAAGACATTTACACATAGCTGGAGTGGTGGCATACTCCTTTAATCCCAGCACAAAGCAGGGGCAGGTGTTTCTCTATAAATCTGAGGCCAGCCTGAGTGAATTCCAGGTCAGCTAAAGCTACATAGTGGGACACTGTCTCAAAGAAACCAAAACAACAACCAAGAGAGACCCTTGTCCTCTTCCTGCGGATACCAGGTCATCGCCCTTTCTCACTTACAAGAGGTAGTGTCCTTCACAGGCATATGGGAGTCAGGTTTTGACTCTAACCTCCAAAGAAGACTTGGAAAAGGTTTCTACTCAAGCTTCAAGACCAGAACTAACAACTACCAATTCTTCTGGGCCCAGAATAGGGAGGAATCTTATACCTCACAATACCCCCTGGGAGTGTTTTCTCTCAGGGCTGGGAATGAGGCTCGGTTGGTAGGGTGTTTGCCTTGCACACGTGAAGCCCTGGATTCAATCTCCAGGGTTGCAGAACCTGAGCGTGGTGGTACATGCCTGTGATGCCTGCTCTCAGGAGGTAGACAGGATGAGACAGTCCACATCCTCCTCCGCTGCACAATGGATTCATGGCCAGCCTGGGATACACGAGACCCTGTCTAAAAACACAACAGGAGGGCAGATCTTGCAGGCCAAGGGGCCCATATCTGGAACTCAGCACTCTGTAATTTCAGCACTTGGGTGGCAGAGGCAGGAGGATCAGGAGTCTCTGCTACATAGTGGGTACCAGGTCAGCCTGATCTATACAAGATCCTGTCTTAAACCCCCATAGTCCCCCCAAAACAATTAGCAAACAGAAAAATGAGGGATCTTTAAGACTGTTTTCCTGGGTTGGGGATTTAGCTCAGTGGTAGAGTGCAAGGCCTGGGTTCGGTACTCAGCTCCAGTTTAAAAAGAGAGAGAGAGAGAGAGAGAGAGAGAGAGAGAGAGAGAGAGAGAGAGAGAGAGAGAGACTGGAGGCAGTCTTGGGCCAGGCCACCGGCGACTCTGGAAAAGATCCAGACCTGTCTCACAGCTAAATTTACATGTGTCCTTACCTTTGTGTTGTGGCTTTTTATTTATTTATTTTTGAGTCAGGGTCTCTCTATGTAGTCCAGGCTATGCTGGAGCTCACTACGTAGAGCAGGCTGGCCTTGAACTCATTGTTATCTTCCTGCCTCTGCCTCTCGAGTGCTGGGTCTAAAGACATGTGCCACACCTGGCCCTCTTGTGGCTTTCTGTAATTTCTTTTTTTTTTTTTTTTTTTAAAGATTTATTTATTTATTATGTATACAGCATGTATGACTGCAGGCACCAGAAGAGGGCACCAGATCTCATTATAGATGGTTGTGAGCCACCATGTGGTTGCTGGGAATTGAACTCAGGACCTTTGGAAGAGCAGTCAGTGCTCTTAACCTCTGAGCCATCTCTCCAGCCCGGCTTTCTGTAATTTCTAAGATAGCCCTAGGCACGGTAGGGTGGAAGGTAGACCTCCATGCCTCATGGTGTGGCCAAAGTTACTAAATCCATTTTCTTTGGCCAATTTCTGCTTCCCAGTTGCTTTTTGAAACACGGGGAAAAGGAAGCAGTGGGTTTATGGATCTAAGCATCAAGTAACATGAGGACTAGAACCATACATAAGTATATCCAGAATTACAGATGAAAGAAAACCAGGCCAGAAGGGTGGCCGGCATCACCGGTCCCACCTCCTAACAGCTGAGAAGAGAGAACGGCCTCACTGGTGCTCAGCAAGTCAGGTGAGGGCCACACCTCCTGCTCAGCTGGGCTCCGTCCTCCAGACCCTGTGGCACAGCACAAGGGACCTCTGGGAAAGAAGTAATCCTTGCTTGGGGGCAGTGGACAACAGACACAATGGCTGGTCCTGCTTCTGCCTGAGCCTTCCAGCAGCCCATTACAGCACCCTGACCCAGGAGGTCTATTTACATGCCCTCCCCCAAAATATTTCCACAGCTCCCAACACTGCCTTTTATGTCCCCTCTGGGCACACCATCTCCAAACTGGCCCTACGAAGTTAGCAGGAATAGGAGCTCTTATGCTGCCAACACAAATGTCTCAGCCCCAGAAACCAAGTCTAGCCTGAGGGGTTTCCTGGTCCACGTGGGCCAGTAGCTCAACTCTGATCTCATAGCCTTCCCCCCAGCTCCCAGGAACTGCCTTGGGTCAACGTCAAACTTCTGCATCCTGCTCATCTCAGTGTTCCTTGTTCTGGGGAGGGGGGCACTAGCTTCTGCCCCTCAGAGTTCCCAAGCTCACGATCTAAGTGCACAGGCCATCTGTCTGTCCCTCACAGTGGTTATCAGAATGGACCCATCTAAAACCTCATTTCCCTTCAGCCTTTCTGCCACGCTCTGTCCCCAGCCAAGCAGTTTCCCCTCTTAGCGTGGGACTTGGAGCCACTGAGAAAGCAACTGAGATGACACAGTTTGGGGACAGGATGACTCCACAGTTGCCCAATTTGGAGGGCTCTGAGATTCCACCTGTCCTGTCTCTCAAAACTATTGACTCGGTGAGAAGTGAGTTCCTGGAGGTGTGCAGGGACCCATTCATGCGGGGACCTCCATCACTGCTGTCGTAGTTTTGACAGCAGCTGCTAAGTGTTTTAATGACTCAGGTACTGTGCAAACACTTTATTTATATGCCGGAAGTTGGCCAGTCCTCACAATAACCCTAGGGTAAATACTATTAATATCTCTATTCTACAAAGAAAAGAACTGAGGTACTGGGGGGCAGCACCACCTCCCCCAAGTTCTGTAAGTAAAAAGCCAGAGCTGGGACTGAAACACACCGGGATGTCAAGGCCACCCTGTCATCCCAGGCTGCTACGGAAGCTCCTTCTCTATGATAGCCCCTCAGGGTCCTGCAGGTGCCTTAGAAGTGAGACCCTTATTCTCCCTAGAAATTCAGGTCTTCTGGCCTTTGCATGGAAGTCACCAAGACACCCTCCTGCAGCACACACCACATTCCTGACTAGGAAGCCACGAGCTGTGGCGAGCGTCTCAGCCCTTTCCAGTCAGCTGAGGGTGGGGAAGCTGTCTGTCTGTGGGGTGCTGGAGGGCTCCTATCACTGGGTAAACACTGCCAAGCCTAAGTCCGATCTCCAGAGGAAGCCTGTGAGAGAGATGCTTTCACCTGAGAACAAACGCAGAGACACTAGAGAGGAAGCCACGGGAATTTTGGAGATAAAGGATGAGGTTTCAGAGAAATGTCTCTTGCATATTGAAGGGGCAGGAGATGAAGACGATCAGGGAGCCTGGCTGCTGACATTCCTCTGTATCCAGGGTGAGCTTGCACTCTCCCAAGCCCCAAGTACAAAATCGAGAGTCATCTGCGATTTCTAAAAACTTTTCAGGACCTGGTCAAGGACAGTAATTCTAGCACACCGGTTCCCAACCCTTTGGGATTAACTCACCCTTTCACAAAGATCAGTGGAAAACACAGATATTTACATTACGATTCATAACAGTAGCATAACAGTAGCAAAATTACAGTTATGAGGTAGCAATGAAGATAATTTTATGGTTATGGTCATCACAACATGAAGAACTGTATTAAAGGGTCACAGCATCAGGAAGGCTGAGGACCACTGCTCTAGTACTTTGAGAGGTGGATGGAGGCAGGATCATCAGGTGTTCAGGGCTAGTCTAGGCAACAGCAGACCCTGTCTGGGGAGAGAAAGGGGAAGGGGAGAGGAGCGGAGGAAGAGGAGGAAGGGGAGGAGGAGGAAGGGGATGGAGGCTTCCAGTGGTACCAATACACAGATGCTGATCGCCTTCCATCCTCCAGCTCAGCACCTGGCAATGGCGCCTATACCCGACAAAGCAGACGCCTCAAAACCCCACCCGGCAAAGCAGTCACCATGGTGTTCCAGCACCCGTGCTGTGGAAGCCATGTGTCACCCTGGCAAAGTCACTCCTAGCCATAGACACCACACACTTCTTGGAGTCACTTAGGCTCCACACTCTGTCCGCCACACGTGGCACACCAGACTCACACTAACTGTTCACAGCAATCAGGCACTGTTTACACCGTCACTCCAAGGAACTGTTCACCTAGTTCTCCCCGCCACCACCCCGGGGGAGGGGACCACCAGCCCACAGCCGACAGGCCTGTCCTGCACCCCCTGTGCCCACGCCGGCAGCTCCGGTCCCTTTGGTCTCCACCACCACGGTTTCCCGCCCCGCGTGCGCGCTCACCTGCGCTGCGCAGCACCAGCCCGCGCAGTCCGGAGTCTGGGCTGCCGGCTCTAGGAGGCGAACCCGCCACCTGAATGAGGGTCCTCGCGAGGTGCGGCAGCTCTGGTCCCAGGAGTCCCTGGAGCCCTGCGGTACCAGAGCAAGATGGCTCGGGAGAGCCGCTGTGGCTCGGTGGCCTTGGCACCCTGCGTTGGAGTCCCGCCCAGGCAGGACAGGGCTGGGCTGCCCGCCCTTGGTGGGACAAGGAGGCGGTGATAGATTGTTAAACACGCAGCAGGCTGCAGAGGAGGGCTCCTAGGCGGGGAGTGTGCCGCTGTATTGAATTCTGGATTCTCTAGCTGCTTCAGCCCTTTCCTGGCCTCAGTTTCTCCACCCCCTCTCCCTCCCTCCTTCCTTTCCTCCCCCTTCCCCTTCGGGATGTGTGTGTGTGTGTGTGTGTGTGTGTGTGTGTGTGTGTGTGTGTGTGTGTGTG